ATCCTCCTGTACAGAAGACACAGACCTCAACACACCCGCCTGCTGCACCTCACCTCCACACACACCAACACCCCAGAGCAACAGGTCCTGCCCACCCCTCCTCCCTCCTCCTAATTCTCTCTCTCTCCTCCCCCCCCCACACACCCTCACACTGGGCGCAGCCCAGTGGAGGTGAGAAAGGGGGGCCGCGCTCGCTCCCCGCTAGGCGGTGGCGCTAGAGCTCCCAGGGCTGCAGCGGACCGATTTAGCTCGGCTGGGGAGGGAAGTGGCAAGAGGGAAGAAGGGGACAAGAAGGGGCGGGAGAGGGGCACGCGAGAGGGGCGCGCACGCTGACACCTGGTGACAGCGTGCGGGTGCAGCGGCGCTGGATCCAGCCCCCCGGAGCTGCGGAGCTGCTGATCAGGCGGCTTTGTGGAGGGGGGACCGCGGGGCTCGGAGCTTCGGGAGTGGAGGGAGAGAAACAAAAGGGGTGGGGGCGGGGAGGCGGCTGATTTACGGCGCACTCCAGCCAATGTTTTCACTGCCATTAGCATCGCCCAAGACCGGGAGCAGAGCAAGGGGTGCCGCGGGGACCTGTGGCTCGGAGCGCTCCACCTGGGTCTGTCTGCCCGCGGGGGCGCAGCGGCTGGGGCGGCTCTGGCCGGTCACCCAACTCCCAGCGAAGAGCCGCAGCTGGATCCGGGATGCCAGGCTTCTCCCCAAAAGCCCTAGGAGGGGGTCCCCATCAGGCCCCAAGGGGCAGGAGCGGGTGCCCCACAACCGACTCAGGAGTCCAAGGAGCAGTGCCAGAGCCCTTCCTCAGCCCGGAGAGGGCTCTCCTTGTATTATTCTAATTACAGTATTTTAAATTTCCTTTAAAAAAGGAAGAAACAAAAGCACAGAATGCATTGGTTTCGATTCATTTCGGCTTCCCAGCTTTAATGACTCCATTTGCGGAGGCTGTTTAGGAAACTGGGGAGGAGGAGGAGGAGGCCAGCAGAATTGCCAGCTCAGGCCTGGGCCTCTGGCTTTCTCCGCCCTTCTCCCTGGGGGCCATCTGCCTAGGCAGCAATTTCTCTGGGCTCAGGGCCACCAACCCCAAGTCCCTGCCTAGGACCTGTCCCTTGGCCCTTTCCTGTAGGCCTCAGCAGGCTTCAAGTTGTCTCTTCCACCCCAACCCAGGTCTGAGGTTCAAAGGATGGCACTGGAGCCTGCAAACCCTACAGAGACCTGTCCATTGGAAATCGCTAACCATGTTCTCCAAGCAGTTGGGATGGAGGGGATCAGCTTATCCCATGCCCATCCCCCAAGTGCTAGGCAGCCTACACACATGAACAGAAACCCTGGTGGCTCAGGGTGTGGGCCTGATAGATAGGAATGGGTGACTATCTCATTGCAGGAAAAAATCCAGGACAAAGTGGGCTGGGGAAGGTTGGACTCCCAAAATGTCAAGACAAAAAGTCAAGACACATTCTGTCCCCAACTTCACAAAGAGACACAGAGCTCTTAACTGTGAAGAGCTGCAGTCCTGGGGAGCTTTTACCTTCCCCAGGTCAGGCTGGGCACTAAGATCAGTGCTGGGGACTCCTGTGGTGCTACACAGGAGCACTTACCAGTCCTGAGGCCTTGCTCCTGACCTTTGGCCTGGTTCCATCCCTTGTGGTTCCAACTCTCCAAATGCCCCTCTTTCCCCAATCCCCGACGCCAGTCCCGGTCTAACTCAGCTGCCAAAGCAATGTCCCCTGCTGTAGGTGGTGCCTCAATTTTAGCATCTCAACCCCAGACCAACAGTGAGGTGGGAAGAAGGAAGGAGGCAGAAGCACTAGATTGAGGTTTGTGGGCCTGAGTGCAAATCCTGACTCTGTCCCTGAGTCCCAGTGTGACCTTGGGCCTGTCCCAAAGCTACCACAGTTAAATTAGTGGATTGGAAACAGGAGGATTTTTGATCCTGCAGAATTCCCAGTTGGTTTGGGGGAGGGGACAGAGCCTGAGGATAGTGATTACAGCAGAAATTCCTCCCCTCTCCCCTGCAGTGGTACTTTCACTTTAATGAGAAAACCCATTAAGACACTTGATTTTCCATTTGTTTAAGTGAGATGGGTGCTTGCTACAGTGTAGAGGGAGATAAGGACAGGCTGCACACACACCACGTGTGCACATACACCATGCACACACACACTGTGTGTGCACACACTGGCACATAAAGCTAGACACTAGGAAAACTCTGATTAACTGCACCTTCAAAAGAAGTATTATCAAGACACTCCGACTCTTCCCCAACCATCCCAGCCAGAGGCCCAGGAAAAGTTCATTAAAAGCTCGGGAAAGGTCGGAAGTGGTGGTACACACCTGTGATTCTAGTGGTGCAGGAGGATTGTGAGTTCAAAGCCAACCTCAGTAACTTAGCAGACCCTGTCATCATTAAAATACAAAAAAAGGGCTGGGGAGGTGCCCCAGGTTTCAATCCCTGGTGCTCCCCCCACCCTGTACTCCCACCCTGCGCCAAAAAAAAAAAAAAAGCTCTGAAGGGGTGGAAGAGAGGAGATTCTTAAAGCCAACTAGAGCATTGAGTGGCCTCCAGGGGCCAGCCACTTGCTGACATCTTCTTCTAAGGTTCCGGGGGTCCTATGGTTCCTGTTTTGATTTCTCTACCATCAAACTTTGTGGCTGGAAGAAATTCTCTGTGCTGAAAAGGAAGCTCATTCTTGGGATGGGGTTGGGGAGAGGAGAGAGGCGCCTGCCACTTCAAGGGAGCCTGGGTGCCCTCAGGAAAGAGCCCTCTGTAGGCCTGGCTTCCCCTGCCTTAGTTTGATAGGAGGCTCAAGGCAGCAGGGTAGATGGGGATGGAGGCGGGGCCTGTGTGGCTTGAATCAGCCTGGCTACTGGACAGGGGCCCTTACATACAAGGCCTGCAGTCTGTGTAGAGTGAAGGCAAAATTTGGGCAAAACCAACACTTTGGGACTTGGTTTTCCCCATCAGTGAAATGGGACTCGTGAGAGATCCATCGCAAAACCCAAGCAACACTCTGAGAGAAAGATGTTCAGTGCTCTTGGCATTGGGGGGAAAGGCTGTGTAGGAGGAAGGGCCATGCTCTACTCCTGAGGCAGGTTTCTAAGGGCGGCACATTCTGGGCAAAGGGAAGGCTGCAGGCCGAGCCCACCAATTGGCCCCTCTCCAGGCTGGTGGGCAGGCAGCCCCTGCAGCGCTAAGTAATGAGCACGATTCCAACAAGGCTTCTCCTTGCTAGTGAGAAATCAAAGCCGGGTATTAGAGGCCATTTCTGTCTGGGCACGGTTCGTGCCCAAATCCATCAAAGCCCCGGGCCTGGGGTTTCTTCTGGGGAAAGAGGGGCTGGATGCTTTGTTAAGCAGAAAAGGCAGGCCACCTCCAGTCTTCCTGGCCCAGCCCACCCACCCGGAGAACACCAGGTCCACCAGTCTTGGCTCTCTCCTGGCGGAGCCCTCACCCTCGGTAGCCTTGGTATTTATTCCTGATCCCACTGCCCTGCTGGTACACAAACAGCAACCCTGCCCATGTGCCACTTGAAGTCTTCATCTTACCCTTCAATCACCTCCTCAAACACCCTTAAACCAGAAACCAACACCCCAAGCCAGCACTCCCACAGCTAACTGCACCCTTTAAAGCAAGGTTGGTCATTCAGCCGCCTCCCTCCCCCCTTCCCCATCATTACCTTCAAACTTCAAAACACTGCTTTAAATACCAGAGTCTGCCCAAATCATAATTAACTTGGATCAAATGGTTGTTTGTTGTAACTTTTCAGCACACAGCTTGGGAAAAAAAAAAAGGTGGGGGATGTGCTAAAACCAAGCCCTCACTCCTGGCCGTGGGAATTATTAATTCCAGAGTGACGGATCTTTAGCTATTGGGGAGCAGAGGAGGAGAGCGGATGTCAACATCACAGGGGAAAGGGGGGGGGGGCTGCGTCATCGCGTCCACTTTCTGCTCCAGTTTTCCTGCCTGATTCTCAGCTTCAACTCAGAGAGGAATCGGTCGGTGAAGATTGTCCCCTCCTGTCCCCACCCCTTTCCCAGAGTGGGCGCCTCGGATTAGAGCCAGTCCACCTGCTTGGCTTAGGGTACCAGAGAGGATGCCTTCAGTGCGTCCATCGCCTCCCTGCCTAACCTGGAAGAGTCAGTTCACTTGGCCTCGCCAGTCCCGCTACAGGGCGGGCGAGACACGTACACATCAGTGCAGGTCGGGGGTTTTATATCAGGAACCCACCAACCCCCTTAAGGCATTTTCCTGGATCTGGAGCAGGTGCTGTACCGAGAGGCAAGCGCACCTGGTCTGTTCCCTGGACAGCAAGAATGTCAGTGACCCATTTAAATGGAAACTCAGCAGGATCTCTACCTACTCCCGCCCTCCTTCAATACACACACCAACACCCGAGGCGGGGGGCCTTCCAAACCTGCGAGCCCACCATCCCCGGAAAGCTGTGTGCAGGATTCAGCCCCTCCCCCTTCAATAGCCAAAGCCCTCCGCTCCGGCCTCCCCGGCTGGCGGAGCGCATCCTGCGCTTCCCGTACTGGGCAGGACTCTCGCTGCCTCCCTCTGGTCTGCAGATTCCAGGCATAGGAGCCTGGGCGAGCTGGGACCTGGACTAGGAAGTTGCAGGCGAACGGCAGACGGCGCACACCTGGTCCGCGTAGCGACAGTTCTTTTTCGGCGCCCTCGCCGCACGCTGGAAGGCAGGAGTCCCTTGGAGGTGGTTCCTCGCGGAGGCTCTGATCCCGAATCAAGGGGAAAGGTGCGATCCCTCCCAAGCGGGAACAGGAAGCTTCCGACTTACTCTAACCCACCCCTGGCCAGCGCCCCCAGTGAGGTGGCTGCGCCATCTACCACTTTAGTGGGGCAGAAAAACCAGCGTTCTAACTTGGGCACCCCTGCCGCTTTCCCGGTGCACCCAGACTCTACCAAAAACAACCTCAACTTTGGGGATGAGCGCAGTGAGACGCCAGGGTCCTTTCGTCCCCAGCCCCGAAGCCGCATCACTCCCTACCTGCTTGGCTCAGCCTCGGGTCCCAGCAGAGTAGCAGCGCCATCAGCAAAGCGCCCGGCGTTCCGCTGCGGGCCCACATGATCCCGCGGCCCGGCTCGGGTGCCTCTCCCCCAGGGCTTTCTCCCTGGCCCCAGCCTCGCCGCCGCCGTCTCCGCCGCCGCCGCCTCCTCCTCGCCGTCCTCCCCGGCGCCGGGCCGAGCCAGCCCGTGCCCTCGGTGGGAGCAGCGGCAGCCACGCTGCGCGGAGGGCCGCCCGGCGCTCGGAGCGCGATGGGTGCCGGGCGCGCACTCCGGAGCCAGGCTCCGGCGCGCCCCTCTTTTGCGCTCCTGCGGCTCCGGGGCTCCGAGCGGCTCTGCGGGCTCCGGCGCCCCGGCAGAGAAGTTGCGCGACCCGAGGGGAGTGCGCTCAGTGGCGCTCGCAGCGGCCGGCGCCGCGCCGTCCGAGTCCCGGAGCGCGCCTCTCCGCGCCCAGCCACTCCTAGCGGCCCCGGCGCCCTCACCGGCCCCCGCCGCCTGCCACAATGCCCAGCGCCGCTGAGAGTCTTAGAGTCAGCCAGCTGAGGCGGGGACCTCGCGGGGACGGGGCGGGGCCTGGAGGGCAGGGGCGGGGCCGGCGGGGGGCCCTCGAGGGGGAGCCCGACGGCCCTCCGCGTGGCCAAGCAGAGCTGGGGGTCCTTCAAGGGAGGTCCTCGAGAAACGCTGGACCCAGCGCATTGGAAAACCTGGCTGCTGGAAGAGGTCTGGAATCGGAGTCCACCCAATTTTCGTTTCCAAAATCTGAGCTAATGTACCTTCACGCCTTCCTTTAGTTTGGCTATATGTCAGCCTTCGCTTCTGATGATTAAACTCTGGACTCTCCCTTTTTGCATGGTCTATGCCTTCCACACGTGGAGGTCTTTACAGAAGAGGCTTCCTCAGACCTCAAACACCAAGTCCCGGCTAAGCTGGGGCTTAGAACTGTGAATGTGGGCACCTATTAGGATCATCCTGGTGGGTCCTACTTTTCTATATGATCTTTGGCAGACCTGTTTGCCAGACCACTGGGAACCCCTGTGGCATCTGATCCTAAAATTACAGTGTGTGTGTGTGGGGGGGGGGGTTGTCGTGGGGAGCGCTGTTTGCTGCTCAGTGCAAACTTGAACTCTCCCTTACCTGTGTGACTGTGAGTTACTTAACCATTCTGATGCTCCCTTCATCATGATCATCTGTAAAATGGAGAATAATGTTAACTATTTCACAAGAGAATGTAAAATTGAATAAGGAGAGACAGATAGATAACAGAAACTGCTATTCGAATGTCACAATCTCTTTCTAAGATCATCCCCTCCCAGCCAGTCTGATTCTTGGGGGGAAAGTCATGACCTCCCAAGAGTGAAGTGGGAGGTCAGGTGAGGTTTGACACATGGGTGGTGCCTTAGGATTGAAACCCAGAGACACAGGAGTGGATCAACACCACCAGCAGAGAGGTCCAGTGTGCCAGGCCCAGGACTAAGCACTTTATATGTATCATCTCAGTTAATTTTCATAACTCCCTGAAGCAAGAACTATTTTACATATGGGGGAACATACATATGCTCCATTTTACAGATGGGGGAACTGAGGCCCAAAGATGTAAAGTCATTTATTTGTCCAGCTGCAAATGGTGAAGCGAAGGCACCACGGGAGATGGGGCTGGGAAAAAACCCTCTGAGCCGGACTCCTCCTCCTGGACACCCTCTCCAGGGGCTGGATCAGTTCTGAGAAGGGGCTAGCAGCCAGCAAGCCGGTCCCCCGCTGCCTAGTCCTGAAAGAGATTTCCCTTTTCCCAGAATCCCTCCTCAAGTACAGGTGTGGCCTGCTTCAGGAAAGTGTGAGAGGAGTCAGGGAGGTCCAGCCAGGCCCGGGAGGGTGGGCTGCTGTAGGGGCCAAGTGTCTCAGGAGGGATTGGAGGAAAAAGGGCTTGGGGCCAGGCCTGCCAACTGGAAGGAGATCAGGCAGAGAAGCAACCAGGACCTGTCCTATCCATGTCCCCAGAGGGAAGATGAAAGAAGATTTGGCCCAACACCTCCTCCCCTCCCCCACAGTCTGGGGTCTGGAGCATGGGGGGGGGACACGGTGCTTGACTTCAGTCTACCTCTCCAGTCCTATGGCTGGGCACCCAGGATCAGGAAGGTGGATATGGGTGGAGTGGGACTCTCTGGGGAAGGACTTTGGTCAACTGAGAAAAGCCTCTGTAGGCCAAGGTAGGCGGGTTATTTTTAGCTTGGCCTGGAACAGCCCAGGCAAGAACAGTGGATGAGAGCCCAGAGCGTCACCGCCCCACCACACCCAGCCCGCTCCAGCCAGCCACACGCTGCAGGCACACAGCAGACACACGACCCTAGACACAGTCCCAGGCACACCCCCAGACACACCTACAGGAGCAAACATACTACAGAGACATGCAGGTGCACAGTGAGCTCCCTCCCAGGAAGGGCACATGTACAAATAGGTATCCGACCACAGAAACACCCACGGCCAAGGACATGTGAGTCAAAAAAGCAAACACACAGGCACACACATCTGAGGACACCAACAGCACATGACTCTAAAGACACATAGGTATTTAGCTACTTATGTGCCGCCAGGAAATAAACAGGCGTGACCCAAGACCCACACCAGTTCATCATCCACCGGACACAGGTGCATGGTCAAGGACACTGTGCCGGAGAGCCCAGCCAGGACCTCAGCACAGCCATGGCGTTCAGGGACTATAGGCGCCACCTCCATCCCAATCAAGGCCAGTGGGATATTGGAGACTTTTCTAAAAAGTTGCAGTCCTTGGAACTTTGTTGTTCAGGCTGTGACTTCCACACCAGCCCAAGTATCAGGTTTCGTGGCTTTGTGTAATTCCTGCCTGGGAAGAAGGGGGAGGGGCAGCAAGCAAAGGCAGAGCAGTCATTTTCCTGTCTCCTGCCAGACCCTGTCCCACTTTCCTCTTTCCACTCTGGATATATGCTTACAGAAAGTCCTGGGCTCGCCTCTCCCTCTAGGACTCCAGCATGGAGCAGGGAATGTCCCCATTATGCTCCAGTGCCTCTCCAGTCTCAGGGACCTCCCTTCTCCAGCCACCTGCCGCCCAGCCACACTGCAGGTGGGGCTCCGCCCTAGCCCAGGCCGGAAGAGCACCACAGGGAGTCAGACTGCCCAGAGTCACACCTCCACCTCCCAGGACTGGGGAATGGCAAAGCCCCCTCTGCTGGGGTGACAACTTCAGAGTAGCTGTGTTAGGACTTATTCCCCAACCTGTGCCCTGCTCACTGCGAAGACACTGCTGTGACTTAAGCAAGAGAGTGGCACAGGAGCTGCTGGAGGGCGGGGGCTCTGACTTTCCTGTTTACTGTGTTGTATTCAGTTCCAATCCGACGGCACATAGTAGGGATGTGGTTGATACTGATTGAGTGGATACATGAATGCATTGGCCTCCTTGAGGCTGGAGGCCAGCAGCCTCTGTGTGATACCAATGCTTTGAAGTCGGTTCCAGAGCCAGTTCTGACCCTTTGCAGAGCCTGCAGACCCTTCCAGGGGTTACTTTCATTTCTTCCCAAATCAGAAAAGAATACAGGAAACAGAGAGATCTGGAATCTGGAGTCAAACCCACAAGAGTGGCCCCAGCTCCAGTCGCTGCTCTTACCTGCAGGGAGAGCAGGGGTCAGTTAGGGAACCACTCCAAGAATCCGTTTCCTCCATCGTAAGATGCAAATAATAACTGCCTCATAGGATTAAAGGAATATGCATAAATCCTCTAATCTAGCTGAATAAAAGCTACCTATGTTATAATAATTATTTTTTGAAAGCAACTGTAGGGGCTCCCTGCAGGAGCGGCTGGAGATCGGGATTGGCGCCTCGCCCGTCGGCCGTTTCCGGCAAGTGCCACTAGGCGGCTCGCTGCCGCTTATGCCTCCCCAAGGCCGCCGCAGTCTTTCTCCTAATGCTGTGGGTCTGGGGAGAACTGTCCCCAGCCAAACCCTGCCTGAGGACCGCCTGCGACAGGGTTTCCGCCCCGGGTAGTCAGGGAAAGAGGATTATCAGACTACATGGTTTGCAGGATCTTGAGTGGGGAGGTTTGGAAATGAGCCTTGGTTGACCTGCCCGGTGAAGAACGGACCCCAGATGCCTAGACCCGGCAGAGGGCAGGTGCAGTAGGGTTGAAGTCCTTGGTGACAATGTTATCACAGCTAATGATGAGCACCATCGTCTGCATGCAAGGTTCTGTCTTAAATCCTCCACACGATGGTGTGATGGTGCCTGTGATGGGAACCGTCTTGCCCCCATTCACCAAATGAAGGAAAGGAGGCAGGGACAGGCCACCCACCCAAGGTCACGCACTGCTATTAGACGTCGCAGTGGAGACTCGTATCCAGACGGAATGGATCACAAGCTGGTCTCATTTTTTTTTTAATTGAGATAAAACTTACATAACACAACATGTACCATATTAACCATTTTAAAGTGCACGATCCAGTGGTTTTTAATATACTCATGAGTTTTACAGTCATGCTCACTGTCGAATTCGAAAAGATTTTCATCACCCCAAAAAGAAACCCCACGAGGTTAAGCAGTCACTCCCCCGCCCCTGACAACCACTAATCTACTTTCTGTCTCTATGGATTTGCTTCCTCTGGATAGTTCATATAAATCAAGTTATACAATATGTGGCCTGGGTCATTACACGTAGACTCAGCCTCTGCTAAATCTTTGACAATATTCCTTCTCCAGCCTGTCTTCCCCTATCTTCTCTCTGCCCCTCACGGGAAGGCCTTCTCCTGGGTACTCAGCAGTTAGTCACCAAAGCCTGAGGTCAGGCAGATTGGAGTTCAAATCCTGTCTCTATTTTGGGCAATTTATTCATTGTCTCTCAATTCTTTTTTAACTGGTGTTAATTTATAAAAGGTAACTGTTTATGTTAGAACACTTTTGGATTGACAGAAAGACTACAAATATTGTACAGAAAGTTCCTACGGGCCCCTGTGCAGTCAGTAACCTTTACTGTAGTGTGCTCACGGTGATTGGTGGACCAGTACGCATACGTCATTACCAGCTGAAGTTAATTCAGATTTTCTTAGTTGTGGTCCAGTGACCTTCTGTCCTGGGATCCTAATCCTGGGCCCCACATTGCTTCTGTGGTTGTTGCTGGCAGTTGAATCTGCCCTTGTTTCTGATGACCTTGACAGTGTTGAGGGTTATCGGTCAGGTACTTTGCACAATGTCCCGTCAACTGGGACTCGTTCATCTTGACATTCTTCATAATTTTGAACAAGGGACCTTGATTTTCTTGTCCCTCTTGGCCCTGAAAGTTCGTGTAGTGAATCCAGGTTTTGGGGTATGGGGCAGGGGAAAGGCAGGCTGAGCCCCCGGCTGGGACATGTGGCGGGCTGAGCCAGCAAGGCTCCGTGCTCCCTGGGGGGCTTCACTGCTCTGGAGAGGGTGTGCTTGGAACTAGACCTGGGGTGAGAAGGAGACTGTAAACATGGAGGAGGCCCGAGGAGGAGTTTCAGCAT